ACAACACCCAGCTATTTTTTGTTGCCGTTTGGCTGAGGCTGGGTTTAAACCCGCCACCCTCAGTATATGGGGCTGGCGCCCTACTCACTGAGCCACAGGCACCACCCCTATTTTACTTTTTTTATTACTTTTAGAGTATAAGAAAGTCAGATATAAGTATATATAATGACAATCATAGGGCAAGTACAGAGATTTACAAGATGGGGGGGCTTTCTTATGGGAGCTATGAAAGAAAAACAGTTTAATGCAAGTACCTTAATACACATTAAGCTTGGGAAGTGGAAGGGTGACTTGACTTTTACAAATCACAACTTTCTGAAACTTGTTGAAAGATTTCTGTTTTGTAAACTGATATATTTTACAAAAGTGGAGTAGAATATAATAGGTATGATTAAGTGGGTAACCAGAGTTGAGAAGCACTGGTCTAAATGTCATGGTGAATTTGTATCAGATTATATTGGTTAACTGAATTCTCATACCACAACTATCTTTTTTAAAAATCAGCAACACAGTGACTCCTGGCGGCAAACCAAACAAAACCAGGGTAATCTGGGGAAAGATAACTCGAGCCCATGGAAACAGTGGTATGGTTCGTGCCAAATTCCGAAGCAACCTTCCTGCTAAGGCCATTGGACATAGAATCCGTGTAGTAAGTACAATTATTAGCATTACGGTTCTCTTGTCTAATAAAACTAAGCTCAAGGAACTATAAAGATTTCTGTGATGATGATAACATGACACCAGTAAATGATGCTGCAAAATTGATAGTCATTTCAGATTTTGCTAAAGCTGCTGGAGAACAAATAGCATTTGAACAAACTCTTTTGTGGCAAAGATATTGGTGGGGGTACTGAAGAGACTTTTTTTGTCTATTTAAAATTGCAAATAATTCGTCTTTTTCGAATTTTTTTTTTCTTTGAGACAGAGTCTCAAGCTTGTCCCCTGGGTAGAGTGCCCTGGCATCACAGCTCAGAGCAACCTCCAACTCCTGGGCTCAAGCGAGTCTCCTGACTTGGGACCAC